GGCCCCAGTCTCTCCTGGACGTCCATTGGAAGCTGAGGGCTGAGGCTGCCCTGAACACTCTCAGCTCTGGGGAAGTAGGTGAGTGGACTCGGGTAGAAAGTTGGGGGTCTCTGTGTGGAAATGGAGTCTTACAACTTTTAAGGGTCTGAAGGCTTCATTTGGCCCTTTATCTCTTAGCAGCCTAATCCTTAGCATTAGAGAAAGGAGGCTTCACTGAAACTTCTGCTTTGGAAACAGGAGTCCTGCAAGATTTTAAACTTTGAGAGGGCCCAAAGGCCTGGGGACAAAAATAATGATTGTTAAAGGGTGTCATCTGCATTTACCAATCAGTTTAAAGAGCCCTAAAAGGGAAATGAGGCTGAAGAAGAAGGAACTGAATATATATATCAGTACATTATATTCACCAGGCTGTTAACTTTCAAAACAACCCTAGAGGGGCAATGTTATTAAACCCTAAAATGTAGGTGAAGACACAGACTAAGAGCAATTAAAGATATTCCCAAGATGTAGACCTAGAAATGGAAGGAAACAGGGCTCCAATCAGGTGTTTTTGATCCTCAACCTCCTCCCACTGGTAGTGGCTTGCTTCTCTTATGGCGACAGTAAAGACTAGAGCTCCCTCCTATGTTTTGTGGAGGCCGGGGACACTCACTTGGCTTCCTCTCTTTCCTTCAGGGCTGCAGAGAAGGTGTGCTTGAAGGTTTAGCTCTCACCTGCGAAAACTGCAGACACAAAAGTCTCTCCATGGCGCCTCATCACATCCGCAAATACCAGGAGACTGACCACAAAAGGGTCCAGGACTTGTACTCTCAGGGAATGGTCGAGCACATCCCCGCCACTTTCCGCCACATACTGAAGTTGCCACAAACAATCCTGGTCTTACTTGGGGTGCCCATCGCCCTACTCCTGGTCTCTGGCTCTTGGCTCCTGGCTCTTGGATCTAATGTCACCCTCCTTGTTTTCCTCTGGCTGCTGGCCAGACACCCTTGGAAGAAGTACGTGGTCATATATTTGCAGACAGACCTTGCTGACATCACCAAATCCTACCTGAGTGCCCATGGCTCCTGCTTCTGGGTGGCTGAGTCTGGGGGCCAGGTAGCAGGCATAGTGGGTGCTCTGCCAGCGGAGAATGCCCCCCCAGGGAGGAAGCAACTGCAGCTGTTTCACCTCTCTGTGGCCTTGGAGCACCGAGGTGAAGGACTAGGGAAAGCCCTGGTCATGACTGTCCTCCAGTTTGCGAGGGCTCAGGGCTACAGTGAGGTTGTCCTTGATACTAGCATAGTACAGCCAGCTGCTCTGACCCTCTACCAGCGCATGGGCTTCCAGAAGACAGGAGTGTACTTTGTTGACAAAATCTCTAGACTACTGGACATTTCTACAATTCAATTTAAATACTGTTTCCCATCTGCTCAGGAAGGAGGCCTGTGAGCTATTGTTTTGTGTATCAGGCAGGATCTGATTGACAATCCTGTAGCACAAACAAAACCTGGCATTTTGGTGTAACAAATGATGCAATATCATTGCTTAGTGCACATCTGAGTCCAGCATGTTTTATGGCGAGTTGTGGATATGGGGGCTTCTATTCCATTCATTGGTTCATTGGTGTAGACTATTTGTATAGGCAAAATGTCGAGAGGATAATGTGCACACAGGTTGCTTGGGTTTGTGAGCCAGTAGTTTCTCCTAGTCTGTGCGGGGCAGCTCTCTGGGTCTCAGGTTACCTATGGAAATGTCCTAGATAGACTGCAATACCAGTGACACTGTATGTAATCTTGTTCCAGAGGGCAGCTCAGGAAGGGCTCAAAGTCACTGAAGAGCAGCCAATGCAAAATTAGAAAGGAACATAGACTTCTCCATGCCCTCACAGGGGTCACTTGTGGACACATCCCAGACTCCGAGGAGAAATGGAGCTGGCTCAGAAGTGGAGGAGCTACAGAGTCCAGAGTTGAGGGGCATGATGTGGCTCTATGGGAAGAATTGGAGAGCAATGCACTCACTGTATTGCCCTGTCCCTGCAGAGGGGTGGGAAGGTAACTGTGGATGGAGGGGGATGTTCCATGGGGAGATCTGGGTACAGTGCACCCTCCTGGTGCTGCCAGGACCCATACCCATGGGCGAGGCTCACTGGGGGAAGTTGTGGGTGGAACCCTCCTTTGGGTCCTGGAGGAGGACATGGACAGGTGAGTGTCCCAATGTCCCAGAGTCTAGGACTCAGTCCTAGACTCTGTCCCCAGGTTTTCACAAACTCCAGATTTGAGCCTCAGGACAGATCCCTCCCATAGAAGGGAGAGTGGGACTTGAGTCAGTGCTGATATTACTAGCTGCTAGACTGTGTCTGTGGCTTGTTCCTGGGAGCCTGCAGCCACATACTTGGTCTCCCTCACCAAGAGTCAGAGCTCCTGACCAGAGAGTTCACATGATACTGATCCATAAACTTCTGCCCCTTAGGCAGTGTTGGGGGGTCTTTCTCGCCTTAGTTTCTACTTCTAAGCATTGTGGGGACACCTGGGCCACAGCCTGTGCAGTTTTGGGATTCAACCTTGGCTATGACCATTTCAACTACGTGGAAACCCTTAACCATGCTCCTGGGTTTTGTCCAAATAGAGGAGACAAGTTGTCTAGGACCAAAGGGGCTCTGAGACCCTTCCCATCATTTAGTAATCATCTATGAACTAGAAGCACTGACTTTTCAAATGAAGACATTTCAGAAATGACTCAGCTTCAAAGGTCTCAACCTTTTGTTATCATTTGAGAATTTAAAAATGCACCGCAAGTTTGGTTCAGCCACAGCAGCACCTTCAGCAGGAAAAAATAAAACTTGTCAGAAGGAGGCTAGAAACAGCTTCCTAAAAACATCAACCCTGAATTTCAGCAGCAGGAGGGCAAGACAGTGAGGCTGCCCTCAGGCTCAAGTGGAGGCCTTCTGCCCCTCCTCTGCTCAGTGTAGGATGTATCCTCTCCCTTGCAATGATCGCCCTGCCCTGCCCCCCAGCACTTGTCATCTTCTCCAGGTCACCAGCAACCCAGGCCAGAAAGGACTTGTCTCATCCCCAGAGGCAGGGCAGCCTGGTTAGCCAGCATCTTCCCAGCCATGACTTTGTGGCAGGT